TTTTCATTCTTATCTATCATCCCTCACTGACACTTCATCAGCGTATACCGTTAGCGCAGGCGGTGTTAGCATTCCATTATCATCCATTAAAAAAGAAACATCGTAGTCCTCAGGAATGGTAACGTATGTACACCTCATAGCCATAACAGTATATTCTGTAATGACCATGGTGCTATTCATATGTATACACGACGATTACTACTTTCCATTAGGTGCGCCATCAGCTTGTTTGCCATTTTTAGTATCATAAAAAAATATTGAAAGTTATCGTTATTTTTTTTTTTGTGAAATTGTCTGCTAGCATAATTAAAATTAATTTTACAAAACTAACATAATTGGCATGTAATAAATGGTGTAAATGAACCGACAACATTTAGAAAATAGCCGGAAACGGATGTATGCGGAAAGTATCGCACACTATAATAAATTTTCACATTTCTAGCTAGCGAGATACTATAAACTAATAATTAGCATAAAATATATGTTTATCCAAGACATTAGGTATCTATGTAGGTACCAAACTTTCGAATCTAGTCAGCCGCTAACATGTTTACTTTACAAACAAATATTTAAATTGTTAAAAGTTTCATTCAAAATATCAGTTAAATTTAAATTCGGATTGTCCCGAAACTAGTCGAGCGTTCTCGACTAAAACTATTTTATCTTATCTTATATTCGCATATGGGGTCAGCTAAGCTGTTGCACATCGACCCATCGGGATCTTTTGTACTTCCCCCTGCCTTATACCATTATTTCATAGATCCTATGTGTTACCTTGACGATATCCCGCGGTTTAAGACATCTGTAGTCCCCTGGCTCTGAATAAGCCGTTCCCAGTAGACTGATACGCCTACTTGCCAACGAATCGCAGTTGCACATCAAGTGCCTGAAGATAGACCCATCTTGTATAATATATGCCTTACTGACATATGTCTAATTAAGGCATTCATTAGGAGTCTTGCCTGTTGTCTGCCACCGTCGAATAGATGAATTTATCCCATCCTCAGCACTGTAATTTAAGAACTTTTTAGTATGTTTATGACCCTTCAAAGTCCTAAATTCCTTTTGCTGTTGTTTCCTTACATACTCATCAAGGCTAGAGTTAAGAACACTTGATGCAAGGGCAACATATGGTTCAGGACCTATAATTTTTTATTCTGAACCCCTTCGCGCCAACTTATCGGCCCTTTTATTAATTTTAATACCTGTATGTCCAGAGATACATAACAAACTAACCCTATTTACTATTTAATATCTTTATAAACTTTCATATTTGCATTTAATGGTGTGAATTAGGATACCATAAATCTATGTGTTACTCTACGATATGACTTATCTGTGCAACTTTATTTGAAATTCTTTGATTATGATTGAGTAACAAATATACAAACTTACACATTTAAAGTGTTAGTAGGTTAATGATATTCTTAGATTACACGTGCGAAAAGCTCAACTAAAAATAAATAACTATATTTTGTTTCAATAGTAACAAAATTTTGATTAAAATGTAACAAAAACACTCTCTAAATGAAATTAATAAAAAATGGAAACGTTCAATCAGTGAAACAATTTTTTTATTTGTACTATTACATATAACATCAGCAGATTGTTTGTTCATTTATGTTATAGTCAAGTACAAATTTAAATCAACTTTATTCAAATAAATTTATTTACAAGCACTTTTAATACCTCATTTTTTTTTAATCAGGCTTTGGAATATTGTTATCTGCTGAGAAGAGTTCGCAAGAAACTTAACAGTTACTTTTTTAAATTTCTGTTAACATTATTGGTATTTATTATAAATGTACTGTGTCCTTCGGTATTTTATTATAACATATAATATCCATTCCGATAAAAGACTTGTTAACTTTATTTAAATGGCACTTCGAATATATATAGCGCGAATTGCACGTTTTTGTAATACAAATATGCTTTGGATGTTGTGGATATCATGAAATAACTAAAATAAACTAATCTGGCAGTATTATATCAGTTGGCTCAACGTTAGTTGTTGTTGACACTGTTTAACTCTATGTGCAGCTTACAACCTTGGAACTTCAATTCTAAGAATTTCTACAAATTTATGTGTTTTTTATGCAACTTAGAATGGCAAACAAGCTGACGATACATCTGATGGAAAATCGTCGCATATAAACGTCGCCTATAGACATGAGCGGTATCATGGACATAACAGAGTATACTGTTTCGCCCATGATACGCCCCTTGCGTTGTCGTTCCCGAGGACTCAAGGGCTGTAAAAACAGAAGATGACAGTGGAACAAACTGTTGCTAAACTTGCTCCGATTCAAACCAGATCGATCGAGAATGTTGAATCATTAACAAATGCTAAAAAGTATGGAACATGAATAAGTATATATTGCCGCAAAAAGAAACCATTTTAGTCCTAAGGGACAAGATATTTTGCAGACACATTAGACTGAAAATAATAGAATTTAGACGAATTTAATTTATGCGAAATCGTCTAACAACGCTTTTGCAAAAAGCAGCGAAAAAAATGTTTTATGTATTTTTGGTAGGTATGAGAATAGATCGTAGTTGTATACCGCTAGGTGATTATGGTGATGGTGGTATTCAGAAAAATATTTATATGGCAGAACAACGTTTGCCGAGTCAGCTTGTATTTCTATAAAATGAAAATAGGTAAATAGGATTTGTAGAAATAAGAAAGAAATGAAAACGTATTATAAAGAAGGGGTGGACCATTCTATGCCGGGATCACACGGTTATTACTAAAACTTAAATATTAAAATAGATATTTTTGATTGTAACATAGAAAAATGTTAAATACAACTCATTCCTTAAGGGACCGAGGTTCTATTCCTATTTTCCGATATCTGAATATTCTTAAAATTGATACATTTTGTCACTACTGACTTAACTTCTCATATGAGGCGTTATTTAGAGATATCACCATGGAATATATAATGTATTTAAATAGCAATTTTTTTTATATAACCTATTATAATGTACAGATATGCAAATATCTAACAAATGTAAATAATAAGATCATAAAGAACTATAAAATATTTGAGAACCCCCAGGGGACAGATTATTTTTATTAAGACATTTATCATCATCATAAATTAACTAATAGATTAATATAAAGAGAATATAAAAGAAGAGACGACCTACAAAAAAAAGAAATATCCGACTGACACCGAAAAATTCATCTGCACCATAACTTATCAATAATAACCTACCTAATCAAAATTATAGTAAAGCAGTCGCACGCATACTTACTAAAGGTAGTGGAATTAAACAAAATAATTCTAACAAACAAGTTAATTTTCTCTAAATATCAATACAATAACATAACAATGCATTTTCCACTGCAACAACAAGCATAGATGAGGAAAATGGCATAGACTCTTGATTTGATGCATAATCAACTTAATGCTTATTAAAAAAATGACCATGACTACTTTGCTAAAATAGATGTATAGAATTCATACAAACGGAAAAAACCCGGCCATGTCCTAACTTGTGTTAAGGGCTTTCTTATAGAACGAAACTGGAGTAACTCCGTCTGAGCTATTGGTATTCCATTGAGCGATGATAGGTGAGAATGAAGTCAGGCCTATCGTGACGTACCTATAGACATGTCCGCCTTGAATTAACTACGGAACATTTAAAATATATTTTATCTTTATTTATGTATGCTTTATTGTACCCAAAATATACAGAGATGTACAACAGGCGAGCTTAACTCTGTAAGAGTTAATCTTTATTATAAAAATTGGCTTTATCGATCAAAATTCAGGTTTTATTACAGATTTGATTTAACATTTCCGATTCGGGTAAGCGACTTTTAAATGAAACCTTGCGTGTAATAAAAAAAATAAGAATAAAAATTTATATCTTTAAATGTATTAAATTTATTATATTTCTTTATTGGGCATGGGTATGTAGGCAACCAACATTGGTATAGGTAAGTAAAAACCTGATCTTTTTAGGTATGTGTCCCTTTTGTTAGTAGGCCTCACCCATGTTTAGATTATTGCTATAAATCTTAATCTCAGAAGTTAATCTCATGTTAGAAATAGTAAATTATTCATAGGTGGATATTGAAAAAAAACTTTAATATATATAAATATTTATTTGATATAATTATAGTTTAAATCGGCACACATAAAAATAGATCGCTACTTAAATGAATTGCTTTGCGCAAAACTCAACAACGGCCGGACCACTTAGGATAATTTTTTTACCCATTATTCGTTGGAGTTCAAGAAAGGTTCTTATAAAGAGAAAAATTGGAAAACATTTTCCTTTTATCCATACTAAACTATTGACACCGTAAATGGTGGTAGGAGGCATGTTTTGTCCCTTGTCGTCATTTTCCAGATCAGTTATCCTATAAGAGAACTAAATTAAAAAATAAAACCTTGATCTCACGTACTTATTCAATTCTTTGCTTTCTAGCGACAAATTGTCTAAGATCTGATGAGGAAAGATATATTTTTAGCTGATCTGCCTATCTCTTAATATTTATATGCATAATTCTAGGTAGTCAACTACATACCTATCTACAAGACAAGAATATTGTAACATGCAAATTTTATTATTTAACCTATTCAGATAAAGAAAAATGGTAATTTTAATCTAAATAATAAAGCATGGGTTCATTGTGATAAATAATACCTAGAATATTATTACAAAGATAACATTATATTTATCACAATGAACGAAACGTCCTAAGTATACTTACCCATAAGCAGATAAGTGCATTCAATTAAATAAATAAATATTGCCTACATATAAATATTTAAATACCTCAGACAGTCACTAACGGAAAATATCACTAGCACATTCTAACTAGATTGCATGTAACTAGCTAGAAATAGGTAACGTAGGTAAATACCTATATCATCTGACAGCTCGTGCACGGAACATGTGCATCAATCAAACAATTAAATTGTAAACACAATGCGCGTGCGCAATCACTTGTCGTTAGTTTTACAAAATATGGAAAAACTAACCGGGTTGCTGTGGTGGCAATAAAGGGGGAATAGACTGAGCTTGTGGTGCCGAGCTTGGAGCTGGAACAGCATACGGAGACACTCCAGGTGAGCCCGGAACCGAATCGCAACTAGCCGAGCCCAGGGACCTTGGCGGCGGCGGCGGCACCGGGCTTCTTTGTATTTTCACAACCGGAGGCTCCGGTCTCTCCAGTTCAATTCCATTAGGTGGCATTCCTGACGTCTCTTGCGCTCGTGCTCTCGCCTCGTCCTGAGCTTGGGCTCGCCTCAACGCGGTTTGGAGAGCCATCACCCTCTGCCTGTCAGCAGTGAGCCGACACTTCTCGCATATGCAGTTGCGGTACTTGCAGTACCGTTTGTGACCCTTCAGCTCAATCTTGAGACGGTGGTTACGGCAGCGGGCACAGTTAGGGGGGGCGCGCGGCACAGCTGAACTGGAGGCGCCTGGCTCTGAACGCTCCTCGCAATCGTCGGGCGCGCGGCGCTTCCACGCGCCCATGGAGACCATGGCTTGGAACTCGTGTTCAGCCGTGTTCGCGTAGTGCAGCGCGATTCGATCAACGCACACGCGACGCCGCGCACGTTCACGATACGACTGCCGGCCCCGCCGCCCCGCCGCCACCGATGCACCGTGGCCACCCCGCGCACCTCCGCGCCGCGGTATTGCATTTATTACAGAGCCAATGCAAGTATCTTCACGCCGTAAGTAGTATCTGCGGTTAATTTGGCTCTCATAAAAATAGTTTCCATCTCAATACGTAACAGAACACAACGAATATATGTATATTACTATACATACCTAAACTATTACGTATTCTGGGTCTAGACCTCAGCCTAGTGTTGCCGAATATAATCTACATATATAAAAGAGTATATCGACTGACTGACTAAGTCATATATTGACGTAGAACCAATACCGCTGATTCTAGAATATCGAAATTTTAATAGGTTCTTTAGGGCTGTAACAGTGTGTACTATTAATACAGAGAACATCAATGTAAAGAAAAGAACAATAACCTAAATACCTACCTAAGGAGGAGAAATGTATTGTTAGTTATGTGCACTACCAGCCCCATTGCTAGCAATATAGCTGTTAGTAGTTAGTAGTCGACATTCACGTCCCTGTTCATCAATCATGCTGAATTTCTGGTGTATTCACCACGATAGACTAACTACCTGCTTTTTCAATTTACCTCTCATCCCTCACTAGTGCCCCGCCAGCGTATACCATTAGCACAGAGGAGTTACCATTCTATTGTCATCCACTAAAATAAGTACCTACCTATCTACATAATTTAAATGATGACTAAATATTACGTTAATTTGATTACCTTTGCATACCAAATTATTTAAAATTTTCAAGGTCGCATGTAAAACAGAGAACGAGTGTATTTAAAGAAAAATATTTCGAAAACGCATATCTTTTACACAATCTTAAATATGGACTGTTAGAATTCACTCCTACTTTTATTACATTGGACCATAAGAATGTGAAATATGGAGAATATGTCGTCTTAGATGAATTCTCTCTTAATTCTTAATATCAATTACTCTTATATAAGTTTCTAAGTTATTTCACTACGTACTTCGATTCAAGTTAATCCTATAAATGATATATTTTTTTATATTTCTTATATTTTACGATATTTCAATTATACAAAAACTTTTACATTAATTGTCGGCATATATTTACCCTCAATAATTATATTACATTATTTTACAATTACGAGTATAATATATAAATAGATATTACAGTAAATCTAAACCAATGTTAAATAAATAATGTCTAAAATAAATCAATGAAATGGTAATAAAAAAAAGTAATATTATTTTTATTAATATTTAACACAAATATTAATTAAATTAACGGCCTTATCTAATCAAAATTACCGTCACGTCCCACATCTGATTCAAAGGTCATTATTATTATTTATAATTAAACACTTGATATTTTTTTTATTTTTAATTTAAAATTAGAACAAGATTTTCATATTTTAGATGTACATATACATATACATAAAAAAAAATATCAATAAATTACACTGATGCAATTTAAAATTGGCACACTAATAAATGTCCAACAGTGCGTGCGGGCGTGCGGTGCACTTCGTACGATCGCGTGCAACTACGTGACGCACACATACATAGCGTTCGTGTGCCATGTTATTACAGAGCGATCATATAAATGTGTGTGTATACATAATTGAATGTGTGCACGAATTGCAACTGCACCACTTTCTTGTGTGCGTGAAATTTTTCTTTACGTCATTCAAGAGATTTTGGCGCTGCAGCTCAATGAGAATAGATTATTAGAACATAGTACTCGGTTACTATTTAATCACAATACAGTATAGACTTTCATTCAACTGTTAATTCACACAAGTACCTATTTGCATAATAATTATACACATGCGCTTGAGAAACTCATGGTCTACTTACCCCATGACCCTATCTCACTAGACCATAGCCATGAGCTTGCATCTAGCTTGATCGTACCAATTAAAAAATTGCAAATAAATTTTTAGTGATGGCTAACATTTTTTTAATAAATGCGAAGTAGGGGGAAAGGTACTGTTAATAATAGAGACTGAGAATCCCATTGCTAGCAATATACACAACCAGGTCGACCTCCTCGCGGTTCTCCCTGGATTCTATCATGGTTAATTCCTGATGAATTCATCATGATGGGCTAACTGGCCTGTTTTCATCCTCATCTATCATCCTTCACTGGTGCTCCGCCAGCGTATCCCGTTAGCGCAGGCGGGTTTACCATACCATTTACACCCATTGAAAAAAAAAATGCGAAGTACAACAATAAAGTAATATAGTGCAGACGGAGATACCATTTCATAAATTTTAAATTAGGTATAATGAGAATTATAGGTCATAATGTAAGTGTACATAGATGAAGGAGGTCTGCCGTGAAATAAAATTCCAAAATTTCGGACATTTCGACCGGACTAAATTCAACTCGAAAGACCCAAGTCTTCTAAATAATCTAGGAAGGAAATTGCTGATTACCGCTGGTATTTTAAGGATAATTGAAATTTCGATATATTTATTTAAAAACCAAAAGTCCTTACTAAATGTGAAAGTAAGTCTGTTTGTTTGTTACCGTTACTTCATAGCGTCTTAAAGGCTTTGCAAGTTACTATTTGACATATAGAAGCAGAGAAGAACATAGCCTACTTTTAGACACGGACTATATCACGGGTAAAAGCTATTTATCCGATAGATTCCAAACGAAAGTATTTTTTTTTTTTATTATTTTTATTTGTTTTTTTTTTTGATTCATAAACTGTTTGACTATGTATTATATTGATGAGAAAGCCACATTTTAGTCGAATATTAATGTAGATTTAATTGTTACTTTGTCTTCCATTCATTTTTTTTGTTAATTCCTGTTTTTGTTACTTCATATGCAGTGCCTCAAATCTATTTTGTTGCTATTTGTGAAAATCTATTAGTGACTTAATTTATAATCCCAGGCTATTTATATTTACACTAGTGTAGCTTTGGTTTTCCTGTAAATAAAAAAAATAAATCTTTTTTTTTAATATTATTAAACAAGTTCATACTGAATTCGAGCTCGTTGTCTATGCCAATCATAGACATAGGTGACCTCGAGATGTCAATCTAGAGTCAAGGTGCCGAGTCATAGAGACATAGAAACAATAACTACACACAAGAAAACTTACAATGTGGTTCCTTGTTCGCAACGGTGCATACATACCACAGTTATTTGTATGTCTGTGCCACATATGTAACATTGCCAGTGTCACTGCCGACTCGGTTCACGAACAGCTGATGGTAATGTGTGACGGTAAACGTGTAATAAGTGCTTAAAGTGATTGACAGTGAATCTGCTATAACATATGAGGAAATTTGTATATTATATCGCTCTTAATAAGATATAGACTAACAGACTAACTTGAAATTAGTAGACGGGGAAGGGATTGTTAGTAATGGAGACCAACACCGTTGCTAGCAATACTTCAGGGCGACCTCCCGCGGTCCCTCTTGGAAACTATCGTACTGAATTCCAAGTGTCACGATGGGTTAACTGACCTAACTTTTCATTCTCACCTATCATCTTTCAGTGGTGAATGGCGGGAGCCAGCGTATACCGTTAGCGCAGTCGGGGTATACCATTCCATTACCAGCTATTGAAAAAAAGGCTTAAAATTTGTAAAAAGAGTTTTAATAATTACCTACTTGTGTACTTACATAAAAAAACACATTTCACAATCTGTTAAAAAAAATCTTAAGACAGTATATCACCTAGGGAAAGTGGAAAACAATATTCGCCTAGATATTTATTTAATACTATAATGTGAGGGTTTTTTTCTCTCCTTCGTAAATATTAAAAATCTAATTAGATTTCTAAATAAATTAAGTATATAATCTTTTTTACATTTACATTTAACTTTTAAGAAAAGGCAACCTAAATTATAAAGTTGAAGAATACAGAATGACATGATCCATGAATGGCATATGTGTATTATGTATTACACAGTCTCATATTCCATTCGCTGGAGATTATATTCAAATTTTATGATGCACTATGGTTCGCCTTTAATAATAGTAGTGTATACGCATCTATACTCTTTTAATGGATCACGTTCATATAATGGACGTTCGATATTCAAATCATTGTCACTACAATGTATATGGCTATTGTCTATGTTTTAAACCAATCGTTATATAAACTCACTGAAATTTATGAAAGTGAAAGTGTGTTTGTTTGTTTCCTCATGGCGTTTTAACGGTTTAATCAAGCGTGACGAAATTTAGCATATACCTACCTACGTACAACTTACGAGCATGACATGGGAACGCGAAGAAGTCGCTGGCAAAATTAGTATATCAATACTATATATTTAGAATCCATTTTACTAGTGACATGACTACTTAAAATTGTTTTTTTTCATACCACTGAGGTGGCAAACAAGCATACGGCCCACCTGATGGTAAGCGGTTACCGTAGCCTATGAACGCCTGCAATACCAGAGGTATTACGCGCGCGTTGCCGACCCTGAAGAAACCTCTTTACCCCCCTTTTGAAGAACCCTTTCTTTATTGTAACAGTTTTTACGCTCATAGAATCTCTAATGCCTTGCGAATTTTAATAATAACTCATAAGAGAAAAATATGAAATATCTCCGTACCCAGTAATTTTATTGCCTTTAGCCAGCCTTCAAATCGAAAAACAACCTTGCAAACACAGTTTGGCGCAGAGCAAGACAGAATTACTCATGTAGACATAATGCGGCTCGAAGTCTGGTCCGCTAATAATTATGTCGCTGTAAGCATACAGGCGATTTTTGTACAAAATCATCCTTTTGTAATATGATACGGGAGAAAAAAAAATATTTAAGCACTTTTTAGTCTTTAAGAATCTCTCGAAGAGTCAGGTATAGTTACATTGAATATTAAAGCTGTGGTTATGGTGGCTAAATTTAACCTCTCATCTACGTCTATTATCTATGCAGTATACTATTGCAATATTATTAATGTTTCTACTTTTTAATTAAAAAAAATTAAACCATTATTAACACTGAGATGTAAACACTGTGTTGTTTAAGTACCGGCACCTCCTAATAT